TGAAATTAACTTCTCATAAGATTGACAAAAGAGTTCACATTTTTTAAGGTGAGTTGTTTTTTTTTTTTATGTATCAGATACATAAAAGGGAAAGGAAGTTAAAATAAATTGGTTTGCTGTGACATGAAATGTGGTTACTGAGGCTATATATATATTTTTTTTAATCTTTGATTTTCATTTAAAATGTTTAGGAATGTTTGCTTGTCAGAAGTCAAGCTATCCAGGGACAAATATTCAATGCATTTCAATTTGAAGAGATTGTTCAAATAAACAAAACAAAACAAAAAAGTCACCGAAAAGGTCATTTGGAAACCCAGCAGAGGAAGAAATGTATTTTAGAGGAAGATTGTAATCTGATTCCTTGTTTGTTCATCTTGAAAATCCCCGATTCTTCACTTTGCAAAGAATTGTCAGTGATATATGAAGACTAAATATTTTATTTATTTCTCTAAAATAAAATCCAAACAGTATGTACTTAATTTACTTCCCCTAGAACTGGAAGAAGAGGATGCCATGTAGATTATTTTCTACATGCCTCCCAAATTCTTCCTAGAAAGATACTTCTAGTCTGTTAATGCATTGTCATCAATATCTAAAAAAGTTTTAACCAATTGGATCATAAAAAAAAAAATCTTTACTTCCACCGATTCTAAGTAGCATCTAATTTGAAAGATTCTGTACAGTACACTTTCAAAGCATCAAGTTTCTTTTTAGTTTCTTGGTCTTCCTTAGGTAGGAAGTTAATATCATTTTGAATTTCCTTTTGGTTTCTTTTGCTAAACTTTTAGTTCAGACGAATGTGAAGTAAGAGGGGTTAATAGTTTGAAACATTTCTGCAGCATGCGATTATTTCAGTGCCATTCTCTGGTGTTTGCCTGAAAGAAAGAAAAAACGGATGGCCGAGTCACTGCTCGCAGCGCCAGACGTTCAGCTGGATCCACCCTGGCACAGTCGTCCCAGGGAAAAGACTCCACTGCCCAACTTGATTAAAAACAGCCTAACAGTGTCTGCCCCGTAGAAGAACGGTGTGGCTTTGGAAGCTGAGCAAACTGCCTGTGAGAAAAGCGGCTGAGGACTCTATCCTTTTCATATGGGAGTCAAGAGAAGCTCCAAGAGAGCAGTCCATCCTGGGCTGCAGAAGGACAAGTTGTCCCCCAGAAGGCTCAGCCAAAATCACAGCACGTGGTTGAAGTGCTGAGGAAGAGCGATTCTACCTTATCACTTTTTCACCGTAATTTGAAGGGGAAAGGGAAACGCACAGAGCAAAGACCTCCTGAGATGATTGGGAAATGTTAACTTGTCTCTGAGTTCCTTTTTTCTTCTTCTTCCTTTTGGCAAATATATCAAAAATAGTCTCTCTTTGAAGATATATTTTGGAAGATACAATTAAGAGAAAAATATTAAAATGGAAAAACTAGCTAGAAATGAGGAGTGTGTAGGTTGGTGAATAAAGTAGATGCCTGTCAGCATTTTCTTAAAGATAAGGTGTTGTTATTGCTGTTTTGCTTGTGGTATGTATGCGGTGAAAACCAAAGGCATCCAAACAGGAATTCAAATTTGAAGAGAAGTGGGGGTTTTCCTGATGTGTTTCAATAATAAAATGAAAAATTGTGTCTGCATGTGCCTGTGTGTTCTCTTTCCATTTGAAATTTTATTCCAGAAAGTGGTGCAATTTGTTACATTTTTTTTGTGGGCACAGGAGGAGGAAAATA